TTGCCCCCCCCCCCCCAAATTTCCAGTAACCGAAATTTTTTTCTGCAAAATACTGGCGACGGGGGAAGGGGGAAGGAGGTCCCAAAAGTTTATATAATGGAGGCTTAAATTTAGTTTTGAAGACCTTTTTAGACCAATTTTCCAGAAAATTCCTTAATATTTAACACGTTCCGCAATTCCAGATTTCCAGGGCCCTCTCTCCCCAAGTTGGGCCCCTTTTTTTTACTTTTCTTTAGGGGGTGATACAACACCCCCCACACACCCCAGGTGGCACAACCTTGTTCCTAATGCCTTATTGCCTTCATGATGTTGGGTTGTGTTTTTTTTCTCATTTTTTTGTGCTGCAAGTACATTACAGGTGAACATTAGAGGTGAATATTAGAGGGTATTATAAGAGGGGAATTGATTATAGGGGAATATTGAATATATTCCCGATAATAACAAAGGAAACCCAGCAATGTGAAAAATGCGTATAGGTTATTTTGATGTACCTTGGGATATGTGAATAAATCACATTTTCCCTTGTTGCCTCAAAATAACCAGCAGCCCTCAAAATCAGTCAAAATTGAGGTGGGCAAAAAAAATGCCGACCTGGATCTGACCTAGGTGGGCATGCCTCGGCACTTTTTAAGATCCGTTTCCATGTTTTGGAGTACTAGTAATCACATAATTTACGAATCATTGAAAACTAACACGACAGCTGGTCACATCGGTTGCAAATCCCACTTCCACACGCACAAAAAGGATAAATTGGTATATCCAGTATGCTTTTAAATATAAAAAATAAAATAAATAATCCAGGTAAACCCAGAGATTACTTAAAAAACTTTATTTCCTTAAAAAATTATTTCCTGTAAAATTATTTCCTTTATTCCCTGAAATCATATGAGTAAATTGATTATACTTTATAAATGTTGCACTCATTTTAGTGGGTTATTGGAAATAGGTATGTTCACGTGGTCTATCATATTAGTCCAGGGATGGATTTACAAGGGGATGGGCGGGGGGTGGGAGGAGGTCGCAGTCAAACGTGCAAACGTGCACGTTTGTTGTTCCAAACGTCAACGTTTGAAACGTAAACAAACATTAAAAATTGTTTGCAGTTGGCGGTTGCTTGCAAATGGTATTATGTAAGTGAATAACAATTCAAATACAGTAGTCAAGCAAGATCATGCAGTAATGTTTTGTTTTGGAATCCAGAAGACCACAGGGTATGAAATTTCGGACAATCTTGGCAATCCAATTTTTGCCGCTCTGTGCCAACCATGGTCACGTTAAGTCGGCCCCTTACAAATCCACACTTGCGGTATAGGAGTTTTGACCCGAGATGAATATTGACTCCCTTCACTGTTAAATCAATCAGACAGCAGTCATTAATACTTTTTATAGAAATTGCAACTGAGCATATGTAAATTCCTTGGCCTCTGAGGTTGATGGCAAGCTTGGCATTTGTGTGTAAACATAAAAATTCCCTTTGCTACAATCCAATTCATTTATTTCAGTATAACCCTCTATTATTCAGTTGCACAAATATTTGGATCCAGCCTCTCCCTACCCTAAAAAGGAGGGTCAAGCTATATGTACTGAGCCAGCTAAAATAAATATGGATACTTTTGTCCGGGGCATCCGCGATGTTTATCAAAGTTTTTGTTTTCGTAGGTATCGATCATCTTGCAAAACAAGAAATTGTTGTGGTGGAGAAAGATGAAGCGGGGCCAAGTAGCAGTAGTAGAACAAGTTGATTACCAACCAAGCCTAAAGGTCTTTTTCCCACAACGAAGAAGATCAAATCATTTGCAGAATACAAAAAAGGCAAAGGAAAGCAATGGAAAAAATCTGCGTCGCCAAAAAATTCTGATGAAGACAAACTTCAAGTCGCCAACTCAAAAGAACGTGATGTGTGCATCAGCATTGGTCTGCTAGAATGGAATATTAAGGAGAGTATTCTCAAACCAAAAAGGGGTAAGAAATTAGTGCTTCGTGTATCCAACAAGGCTAACTACAAAACAGTTTGTAGTCAAGCCGTTGAGAAATGGAAAGCATTTTACTCTCACTTGTACTCCGAAAGCGATGACTATGTTCTGCTGTATGAGAATGGGGAAGAGGCCCTCTTTCTGCCTGGATCCACAAAAGAGTTCTTTAGCTTAGAAAGATATCAAGAAGAATTGGGAAAAGATTATAACAGAATTACGTTATGTCTGTGCACATCTTTCGACTACATTATTTCTCAGGGCATTGACAGTGACAATGAAAATGCTTTGCTTAACTGTGATATTCCTGATGACCATGGTACAAGCATTGAACCGCATGTACATCCAACTCCAAAACGCTTAAAAGTTGATGTAGCTGAAAACAACAAACAAGAAGATTTTCAAATCCAAAACGATGAGAAATTCGCCATTGAGCTTCAGCAACAATTTGAGGAAGAAGTGGAAAGTGAGATCAACATATTGACGGGGAAGATAGCATACCAGTGGTAGAAGATAGCATACGAGTGGTAGAAGATAGCATACAAGTGGTAGAAGATAAATCTGAAGAAACCAAAGAAGAATTCATTCATCAAGCATCAGTCATAGAACACCTGGAAAAGAAGACTGACAATTCTAGTCAATTCTTCATTGTCTTTAGAAGGAAAGTACCTTTTCAAAGGGTACTTTCCCTGTGGCAACGTGCCACAAAAAAATCTTCACCTACACAGAGACTAACTGTTAAATATGTTGGCGAAGATGGGATAGACACTGGGGCACTTGCAAGAGAATTTCTTACAGACTGTATGGATAATATGCGCTCTGCTATGTTTCCTGATGGGTGCCCCGTTGACTCCACATACCACATTCAGAATGGCAATTTCCGTACGTGTGAACAGATAGCTGCTGTGAGTCTAGCACAAGGAGGTCCGAGTCCATCCCTTTTTGAAGAATGTGTTTATGACACCCTTGTCAATCCAGATATTGATATGATGAAACTAAACATAGATCAACATCTTACCAAGAGTGAAAAGGAATTAGTCAATAAAATTAGAAATGACATCAAAGGTAATCAAGACAAAATATTAGACTATGGGTACACAGGTGTAATCGATGATGGCCATGTGGATGAAATAGTTCGATCTATTGTTGTTAGTCTTGTTAACAAGAGAGTATTGTACCTTAAAGAATTCATGCAAGGCCTTGCACTATATGGCATCGACGAGCTACTAAAGAAAGCTCCTGGTTTATGCAAGTATTACTTTGTTCAAGGGTTAATTCAAGACAATATTGATGCAAATTATCTTTTCTCCTGCATGTAGCCAGAGTACTCTGAACCAGGTTCAAGTTGAAGAACACTGGAGGAAAAAGTTGTGGATAACTTTCAGGACTTTTTGAACAGCATTGAAGATACGAAGGTCACTGGATACACAGCGCCAGTTGCTTGGAACTACAAAGATGAATAGGAGGAGAAGCAGAAAGTTCCTGATGACATGATACCAGAGGAAACGTTCGAAACGGCCGAGGTGAATGTACCTGGAATGATGATGTGGCTAACTGGTCAGAAGCATATACCTTTAAATGGTAAGAAATTGTCGATTACCATTTATTTTGATCATGACTGTAAATCTAGGGATCCAAAGCATACCATTTGTTTTCCTTTAATTGGGGCTTGTGGAATGCAGATTATTTTTCCAATCGAACATGTGGTAGATTCAGATGAATTTCATAACCATTTATTAGTTGCATACTCCAAAAGTCAGGACTTTGGTAAGTCATAACTTGAACAATGTTCTGAAAAGATGTTGTGAGTTTTCAGAGCTTTTCATTGGAAATATCAGTGAAATTTGTTTCACATTTCACCAGTTGAGTTGACTAACTTTCTAGATTAATATAGAGTACATTGTGTTGTATTTATTGGAAATTGAAAGTCTTGCAGTTATACATCAAATATTATTGTAATTAATTTCATATTGATATATTACTGTAATATTGATGAAAAAAAATGGGGGACTATTTATATTCATATTATGACTTATAAATAACAGGTTGGTGCAGATATGGGGAAGACAAAATCATACTGTTGTCAAGTTCTTGTTGTTACGTTAATTGTTAATATTTCCAAAACCTGAAATAATGATTTGATTCAACGATTTACAACCAATTTTTTTTCACAACCAAATACATACTGTGAAATTATTGTCTAACAAATTTAAAACTTTTTCTGTGTTGGTGTTGTGTACTCAGGTGAATAATATGTTTGCGATGTTACTCGGAATACTGGGCTAGTATTCCAAAGGTCGTAAGTTCGAATCCCACCGTGGCCGGGCATATTTTTCAAGCTCGCCCGGTGTAGATATGCACTCAGAGTAACATCGCAAACATAAATTTAAAACTATCATGCAGTCATTGCAGGATTTACTTTATAAAAGATGATGTTTTCGTAAATTGGAAATTCAGTTGCCAAATACAGTAATAAAACTCTCTCATCTGCAGAGGTAGAGAATAATACGCAGAATGCCATCCCATTGTTTTTTCGTAAGTGCTATTCGTCATGATTTGTTACTCAGCAAGCACCCTAAACAAAAGTAGACACCCTCTGAAAATATCCAAAATCGCGCTGTGTGAGAGAAAGTCATGTATATTTCCAGGGGGTGACTACTTTTGTTTACGGTACTTGTTGAATGACTAATCATGACGAAAACGCTTACACAAAAAGCAATAGATATGGCTTTCTGTGTAGTATTCCGTGACAGAGAAGTTATATCTCCTATGTGGCAGAGGCTTACATGAAGTTTCTCGTGAGGGAAAAGTGAGCACGCAAGGAGTGATGGAAAGAACCCGCCCAACAGGGGTAACAAAACGTTTTTTTTAAATTTCATTTTGGTTGGACTTTCTGGCCAATAGGCGTGAATAAACATATTAATTAAAGAATGGAAGAAGATTTTTTTTTCGTTATTTCAGGCTTTGATTCATTCAGCAGTTGTACATTAGTTGTTTATATTAAAAATCTAAACATTTTGTTCGACGATTTGACTCAATCTACAAGTATCACCTTAATCACAAAAATTAGCATGTAATATTAATATTACATAACATATGGTTTTCCTATTATCTGCCATGTTCAGAAATATCAATTAAATTCTCATATAAGTTTATAGCTGCTTGCCATGTCTCTGGTCGTGAATAACCTATGCTTAACCTGACATACTCAAAATACTCTTGAAGTTCATGTGTTGGTACCTCTTCAATAACATGTGTGGACACATATTCAATCTTCTCTTGAGACACTTGCACTAACATGTCAACTGTGCCATGATGCTCAGGAAGAAAAAAGAGAGAGTCTGGCCGTTCATTCACTATGTCATGTCGGGATTTCCGAATATAATGGGTATTCAAGTGCTTTCTTACAGCATCTAATTCACTTTGAATGACAACTGAAAAGCAGTACCAAAGACACTCCATTCTTAACTCGCAAGAGGAGTCCAATATGCCCTGAGCTTCAAGATCTGCAAAAAATCTTCTCCACCACTGCGTCTGTTGTTTAGACAAAAATGACCACCAGCACTCGATCCGTTGGTTTCTTTGTGAAGTAACATAACGATGTGCATCCATATTATCCCGGAAAAAGCTTTGCATTGCTGCTGCCATGCCATTTTCTGTTCCTAGGTCACTGACTAATTCTACTGGGCACCCTCCTAAGGAATTAACGCTGCTAAGATACAGTGATGTAGGGCCGTCAGGAAGATTGTTTGATCGAAGGACTGATAACCATATTATTTTCCTGCTGTACCCGTCAATACCTCCATGAATGGGGAATCCCCACACTTTAAGCTTATCATAGCCATCGATATGCCATGCATAATTTGGGCCAGGATTTCTATAAACTCTTCTTTTTAAGCGATGAGATTTTCGTAGTTCGGTACCCTGTGTGTCAAGTTCTCTAAGAATGGTGGCAACAACTGCTCTTGGTACCCTAAGCCCTTCAAGTTCTAGTCTGTGCCACATAGATCGATATCCTTCAGATGATCCTGGACCAGCAAGGATCTCTAACAGTTACTTGCACCTTTCTGCTTAGTCCATACTGTTTGAGCCTCCTCAGAAGAGTGTTGTAACTGATAATTAAATTATGGTGTTTTTCTAGAAATTTAAGTATCTCTTCATATTCAAACCCTCTGTTAAAATAGTACTTTATGATGCTTTCTTCATCAACACTATCTTCGGAATGTTCCGATTCTGTCGAGTCCGAGCTGTCAGTAGTGTCAGAGCTGTTGATGTTACGCAGGTCTTAAAATAAATTTACAAAATAATTGTTAGTGCTATTGGCGGTTAACAACTGTTTAGTTATTGTGTACATGAGGGAGGGTATTTGGTGATGTTTCACTTTTACCCTTCCCCATGCTTGTAATAAAACATGCAGGCCCTATAAATTACAGTTGGTAATGAGGGGTACCAATAAATAAAATGTTCTGAAGTCGATTTCTGTTGTCAGAGGTCATCACAGTGAAATATTTAAGAAAACGTGCAATGCAAATGAAGCTTAATGGAACATGCAATGCATGGCTCATTATTCTTCCTGAGAAAATTGCCTGTTTCCTGATTGTTACACTGTAAATTAATTAAGGAACTAAATCAAATGATGCGTTGTCACGCACTCACAAAATGTAGTAGTCACCGAATAAATACTGACCATAAGCCTGATACTAAGTACTAATCCTAAACGTCTAATCCCTGACCCTATGCATAATAATCCTGTAATTCAACATTGGCCACCATCTTGGATTTTACTGCGTACAATCTCGTACTAGATTGCATGAAAATCATGAAAATTCCGCAGGGATTAAAATAACTACAGTATACAACTATGTTATGTTGTCACTCTAGTCTCTACGCCTATGATGCTGGGCTTGCGTGCTAAATACTTTGTTTTTCCCGTCCATTAAATTTAACGTTATTAAAGTGCCCCTAATGCTTCAAACTTTTTTTGCTATATCAAATCATGGCATGATTTCTAGTATTTCAATGCAAAATTTTAAATTTGGGCAAGTCCTTCGACTTTTATGGCGCTTTGAATTCAGCTTTAGATGGTCCGGCGCCAAAGGTCCGACGCCGTCGTATTTTGTAAAGAGAAAGAGCATGGGTCCAGCGCGTTTTCATTCCAATCCAATCTCGTCCCCCGAGCATGCTCTGCAAACGGGCGTGTTCGACTGCTAGTGTAACGAGATTGACGTCATCCAAGGTAGTCGGCATTTATAATTTCAAATTCCCGAATTCCGCCATTTTTGCTTTGCTTTACTTGTCTTCGATCGACGTTTTAAATATTACCCTGATTTTCCTCGCCATCATGTCTAACTATGAAACAGTTTCGGAAGACAGTTATCAATGGCGGAAATCTTGGTGGGGCGGGGCGGCTGCGCCCCCACCTTCACGGAAAATTGACGAATTTTCGGAAATTTTGACATAAAAGAGGGCTAAAAACAGTCTTTTCGAGTGCAGCGGGGGGGGGAGTTGTCGTGAATTTCCGCCACTGCAGTTATCAATATTATTTAGTCTCCTGGGGCCGGTTGTTCAAAGTTGGATTAGCACTAACCCTGGGTAAAATTTAACCTGCTGTTTTAGTTTATGTACGTATTTATACACGTCTGTTTATTTCAAAACTTCAGATAAATAAACTGCTATCAATCCAGACAAGATCTCTGAAGAAATATTTCCAAATTTATAGAGTCAGGAAGTTGCTTTGAATTTGAGGTTAACCTAGGGTTAAGCTAACCCAGCTTTCGACAACTGGCTGGGACCATAGTATATAAAATTAAATTATTATAAACAAATTATTCCGAAATACCTTCACCACATTGAGCACAAAAATTGTCCAAGTTCCCGATATCGTTGCCACACCTCATACAGGACATTTTAATTAAATTCGAGAAGAATTTATATTATTTATACTTTTATAACCTGAAACTGTTGATTCGATCTGTTTCAATGGCTATGGCAGTATGGCTGCTTCGTGACTTTCATTTCTGTTTCATGACTTTTCACAAATGTATAGTGGGAAGCCGCTGTCCTTAATGTTTGGTTTTAGCGCTATTTTATTGTTGATATGAGCTATTATATTTGTTGTTGATGTGAGCTATTTGATGTTGATGTGAGCTATTTGTTGTTGATGTGAGCAATTTGTTAATGCTGTGAGCTATTTGTTGTTGATGTGAGCAATTTGTTAATGCTGTGAGCTATTTGTTGTTGATGTGAGCAATTTGTTAATGCTGTGAACTGTTTTGTTAATGCTGTGAACTGTTTGTTAATGCTGTGAGCTGTTTGTTAATGCTGTGAACTATTTGTTATTGATGTGAGAGTTGTAAATACCATACCACGAGATAAACGCACACGAAGCCTAATAAATACACTTCACACAGTTTCTAAAACCCTACAGGGGAAAACCCAAAGAATGAAGAGGGATTATATTTTATATTGTTCTGGATTGGAATTAAAATAAAGAGGTAAATGAAAAATTATAAAAATCAAAGTATCATTGCATTGCCTACAGAATTATTACATACAGTGTGGAATTATTTATACATGGCATAATTTGCATGTGTTAACTTATTGCAATTACTATTGTCTGTATAAAACAAACAACTAAATACAATATTATATACTATAGGCAGTGGCATGTTGATTTTGATTGTTCTGTTGATACTAAACTTTTAGCAGCATAGTGAGACCATGGATTGTAATAATTGTTGTTTTACAGGAAATCCATGGTGAGCATTAGTATTTTTTAAACGACTTGAATAAAGGGTGCGAAAAGCTGCTTAATCAGCCTTTACCATTTTTCAAAGAACTGAATTTATATGATTCACGATTGGTCGGTTGCTAAGTAGTTTTCTCCCGGAAGCACGGGCTCAGATATTCATGCGGTATTCCCCATTAGACTAGATTTTCCCTCGCAAATTATTTAAAATATGGCGGTCTCTGAGCAACTTTTAGCTGCACTTTCTTGCCTTCAACTCGGATCATCCGGTGATGACACCGAAAGATCTGATCGGTTTTGGAATCGTTCGTCTGTAGCTATGAAATTTTCAGTGGAGCGTCTTTGGATGGATGCAGTTTGGAAGTGCAAAACTAAACCAAATTATGGTATGCGTGGTCTAGATGCGATCCTTGAGGAGCGAGCTTCGAACAAGTTGGAGCTGACTGGGCCGCTTATTGATAGTTTTTTCGTGAGTTGGGGAAAGCTATGTACGTAAAGCTTGGGAGATCAAGGAATACTGGTCTTATGCCGCCTGTTAAGCTCTTTGTGCCTTACGCAATGTTTCGACACTTGTGTAATGTTGCTGTTGGCTATGGCGGCTCAATGAAAAGCAGCAAGACGACGCTGGCTGTAAATATTGAGTCTTTCGAAGCCGCTTCAAAAATTTTCTCGCCTGTGGGATTTGGTGGCCAGAATTATTTAAAGAAAAGGCTATTCGACAAGATGAGAGTGAACAGTCGCACTATATTGCAATACTCGGGAAGAGCATCTGTTGTTGTTGGGAAATCAACACCCGTAATATTTGATTACAACATGAAGCAAGAAAAGCTAACTTTAATATTTTATGTTCAGCGCTATGACAAGGCTGATTTCTGTTTGGACTTACGGCTTCAAGCCCTTATGAACAAAGACTAAAGACTATAATTTGCCAAAATTATATCATAGAATTTTTATATATATTTGTAAATATATTTGCATTTCATAACTGGACAGTTGAACTAATTTTATAGTGCCTAATGGATTGTGCAGACTGCAGACATATTAGAGGGTATAAATATTGTTCTCGGTTAAATTCCATAGCAAGTTTAAGCGCTTGCGACAAACCGGTAAGCCATATAATATTAAAAAGATTGCAGGATAGCAATCCTGGGTTAATCATGATATTTTTTACTTTTTGTGACTGTGTTTGTGTAACATAATATATGCCAAAAGCATTTGTTGACCACAGGCTGATACTTTTTGCAATTACCTGACAATTATCAGTCTATGGTTTTGCCCATGTTGTCATACATTCTGTTATACCCTGGTAGTGCAATGTTTATCTGATGTAAATAACTCCATGTCAATGGGGTTAACTGGCCTATCTGCCCATTAAACCATTGAGTCGCATTGCGCACCTACTTTATTATTTTTCTCTGTCTAATGCCAGATTGTTTTACTCTGTCTAACGCCAGATGATTTTACTCGTCAAGGGGAGAAGTGCAGGCACTTAATGAGTTAAAGTAAGATCAAACGAGTAAGATCATCTGCCATTAGACAGAGTTGAATAACAAAATAGGGAAATCCAGAGTGCAATGTGCTTTCATGGGTAAAACATAAATTTCTCATTATACCTAAATAGATTTGTGGCAATGAGTAAGCCATATCATTTGACATTTTTCTGTATAAAAATATTTCAGAACTGTCAGCCAGTACTTAATGTGCAGGTATATTTCATTGAGAGAGGTTCAGATTTCGGGTTATAACCATATGTTTCTCACACATATATGCATTTCCGATTATAATTAGGGCTTAGTAAGCCCTAATCGGAAATGCATATATGTCCGGCTTAGGGTATTATTGAAGGTCGGGATCAAAGGAAATATATTTGTGTACGAAACATACAGTTTAACTAGATTTTAATTTCACTTGCACAAGCCATAGGCATTTATCAGCACCAATAGCTATTTAGGTGGCTGTATTGGATGTGAAATCATAATAGTAGAATTGTGTCATTTGGATGGTATTAAAAATAGAGAGGGACAACAGCATGCTAGCATAAATCGTAAATATTTATGTATTTCAATACTGTCTGCAAAGTTTGAAAGTTGTTATATTTGCAGCAAATCGGTAGCCTGCACGCAGACTATATATGTCATTACAGTATACAGTCTGCGCGCAGGCTAGCAAATATGTGCTGTATAGGTTATTAGTTCTTCATACAAAAAGGCAATAGATAATAGACAATAGCTCTGTTTATTGATAATAAGATAGCTGTGTAAAATTGTAGGAAAAATGAATATAATTGATTTACTCTCTTATTTACAAATTGTTTCCACCATTGATGTATGCATTTATATAGTAGTTGATTTAAAATTTAATGGTAATATCAATTATTATAAATGTTACACCTAACCATAGTCCCTGGGGCCGGTTGTTCAATTGTGGCTAAGCGCTAACCCTGAGTTAAAATTTAACTCGCTGTTTTGGTTTGTGTATTTCTACATGCCTGTTATTTCAAAACTTCAGAGAAGTGAACACTAGTCGACCCAGAGAAGATTTCTGAAGAAATTTTTCCAAATTTATAGACATGCTGTTGGGAAGTTTGCTTTGAATTTTAGTTTAACCTCTGGTTAAAGCTGATCGACTTTCGAAGAACCGACCCCAGTATTAAATATTGATATTGAGCTACATAAATTATTAATCAAAGTTGTTTAATTTAATTTAATAGCAAATCAACTGACTATCATCAGATTCAGACAAGTGTACAACTTGGCACAATAGACACTCTTTATTTCGAGTAGAAGAGTTACCATTTGTAATCATATCCAGAGTCTGTGGTACTTGTGTTTTCCCTTCGTGTCCTAGATTGTTGTGTTGGGAGAAGGAAGGTTTTAAGCATTTCATACTCCTTTGTGACTTCGTTCAACTTTTGCTTCTCATTAGTCAGCTGTTGAGATGGTTTTTCTCTTTCCTCCATTGACTTATCCAAATCAGACTCTGACATAATAAGATTAATTAGTATAGGGCTTACATGTAATTATATGGAGTCAAACTAATCTGCTAAGCAAGTTACTTAGCTAGATGGGACAAAAGCAACATTTGCATGGCTTAGTCTAACACTCTAGGAAAGTAAAACACATATACTGTATGCTGTTGACAAAAATTTTACTTGCCTTGCCGAGTTACATGGCAGTCATGTTTTCATGTAACCGGCAATGCCGAGATCTAAGCTCTTTGTGCAGAGTTCTTGGCAAGGCGAGTTACTCAGTTGTACCATGTACACAGTCCGCCAGGTAAACTATTTATACCAGGTATATTGAATACCTAAAAACTAGATTGGGCCGAGTATCTCGCCTAGCCAGGAAACTAGCCAACATATATATATATATATAAACAGGCCTAGAGGATTTATAACAATTTTTATACATAACAATGCTAAAACAAATCACAACCGTAGAATATTTAGCTACAATCAGTGCCAAAACACTTTGGACAAAATAGCAAAAGAGCGTACATTTACAACACAATCGACCCCCCGCACCCCCCGTTCAATGTTGTGTGTGGAAATACCGGCGCAAAATGTTCCTTGTCAGCCACCCAACATTGTTTAGGGTGGGGGAGGGAGGGATAGTGGTTTTACGCTGAACAGTATTTGGAAAGGCGTAGATATGCATATATTATATCACTGTCCAAAAACCTTTTGTCACTGATTGTAGTCTTAAGCTGTGTTTACACTATGAGCCTAAGCCTGGCCTAGGGCTAGCTTTGAACTAGATTTTTGTAGTGTAAATGCAGTTTGGCCTAGACCAGAAAATATGGGCCCATCAGAAAAGGTGTTCCAGATTTCCTGGCCTAGACCAGGCTGAAATGTGTTTACACTATAAATAAAAATCTAGTCCAAAGGTACAGTAGACCGAGGCCAGGCATAGGCTCGTGGTGTAAACACGGCTCTAGTTATCGACCGGATTTTAATAGGCACGCACAAATAGGATAGTGATGTTTGTGTTGTTACTCTGAGTATATATATCCACACTGGGCAAGCTCAAAAAATATGCCTGGCCACGGTGGCTATCGAACCTCCAACCTTTGGAATACTAGCCCAATGCTCTGCCAACAGAGCTACGCGGTCAGGTCGGTTCGAGTATGTGATATTTCGGAACTGAGTCTAGCTCTTTTGATATCGATGTAATCTAGCTAGTAATGATTTTTTTCTATAAGCTTGCCCCGTGTGGATATACACTCAGAGTAACATCACAAGCATCCAGACATATACACCTGAGTACATTGTACATCAGCACAGAAAAAATAGGATAGTGTTCAACTTTTACTTGAGTTGGTTGGCAAACCAACCTTAAGCCTATGATTGCATTCTAGCCAGAATGATGTGATGACATGGACAGTCTGTGCTAGTCTTTGTGCTACTGCCAAATACAGTATGACAGAAATCAGCAAAACTCTAAAACAATGGCGTAAACAACGAAGTCATTGAAACATGAAATATAAGCGGTTTACAGCCCACTTTCTTACCTTCCTTGCGAGGTACTAGCCATCGATATGCTTCACTTAATCAACAAATTACATTTCTTGTTTTAAAATTTGTTGTGAAATTCAGTTTAACTGTGGAATTTACAACAATTTATATTATTTAACCACAAATTTCGCCTTTCTTGTTGTATTGCTTCGAGATGACTGAAAATACAGGGGGGAGTTAAAACTGAAAATATGTATCAGACAAATGTCTTACTCAGGGGACCCCTAACAGTAAGAATTTGTCAACAGTATTCCGCTGTAAATCGAACAAACATGATCAAAGTAGGGTCTGCTAAAAAGGTTATTTCGCATTTTCTGCGAAACTAATGTGATTCGCTATTTTAAAATAGTATCTAGAGGGGATAGGTCCGTTCTTTTTCGCAAAGATTAGGAATAAAACGCTGCAAAAATATGAAGAAAATTGCGTATAAAGTCAAGCATTCTAACCGCGCGAAAATATTGTATCTAATAGCCTGAGCACTAGTTACCTGCTGCGCGAGCCGTGCGGGAGAAAATTCCTTAGCAACCGACCGCCGTGAACTGTGCTAAATCGACAAAAAGGACTTTATAATGGTGGCCAATTGATAACAAAGTCAATCGACTTGAATGGTCCAAGGACAAATCAAATGTGTTTACAACATTTATTAGTTTAACATATGAAAAAGTGAAAACAATCATCCTAACAAATTAACAATCAACATATACAGCTATGAAGATCTAATATAGCCAAAAGGAAGCCATTTGACAACCCAACACATAAAAATACATAACTAGACAAGTTGTCGCCATCTACCGGTGGCTATAAAAACTGTATAAACTGTTTCAAAAAATTGTAGTTCAATCTGACTCAGAATCGCTCAGAAGTTTTAAACGTTTATATGTTTTTGGTGGGCTATCCACATTTGTTATAGATAGTGTTGGAGACTGCTTGAGAGTGTTTATTGATATATTTACTCCCTCCACTTATCGTTGCGTTCGACAGCGCCGGCATAGCATGTTGTTCTTGGACATTGGTGTTCGCTTGTCGTTTTCTGCCTGTTCGTCGACGAGTGAACTTCAACCCCTGAGTTTCCAGTGGTCAAGTTAGACAAATGACTCAGCTTTCCAGTGGCAACTGAATTGAGAGTTCTCGACATTTGCTGTGACTCGTTGACAGTGGAATACACAGGGCGAAATTTGAAATTTAAGTCACCTTAAAGCTACATTAAATCCTTATTATCGAAGCTTTTAATTAAACTTTAGGGTGTCAACTAAAGTTAAACAAAGTAAATTTAAGTGACATTTTAGTTTTAACTAAAGGTCACTATTGAAGTATTTATAAGCGCATTTTAAATATACACTATAGCCACTTAAAGTTGAATTTATTGGCATTTAGGGTAAATTCTTAAATGTTATGGAAAGGTAGATTTAAGTGCGAGTAAAGACCATTAAAGGTCCTGAAATTTACATTTACAGATTCGTTTCTTTAGACTTTAGTGCTTGCAGTGTGTGACTTAAAGGCATATGAAAGAGGTATAAAGTTCCTTTTACCATGTTACAAAAAGCACTTAAAGTTTCATTTACTTTACTTTTAGGTTTAATGTAAATTGGACAAAATGGCTTAAATTCACTTAAACCTGCATGTTTAGATCTATAG